CTGGAAATATCTGACATGTTTTAGAGAACCCTGAGTTTGCAAACACTTTTTAGGCATCGCATGAAAAGAAATCCCTCTCAGTTTTTGCAATTCTCATTCCTCATGTTCTGTCTGACTCGTTCAGTTTTTTCATCGATGTTTTGCAATCCACTCAAGGTATTGCCTAGTCAAGTAACCATTGACCCTCTTTTCTTTTTCCTTTCCTACTTTGTTTTTTTGTTCCTTCTTTCGGACACAATAACCTTATATGTTTAACTATAACATGAATACATGATCTACATGTTTAATCAATCATATAAATTATCATAAATTTCTGGTGAAAAAAAAAAACGACCCTTTTCTTACTTTTGCTAACATCCCACTTTAAGTCTAATAATCCATTATTAATAACTGGCATTAGAAGTACAATTATTATTGAACTACTTACTAAAAGTTTTCATAATCACTGAGCAGGATTGCTTGAAATTGATTTTTCTCTGCATGAGTAACATTTGACATTATGTCACTCACCAAACATCAGTAAACCCTAATCGTTTTGGAAGATTTGGAAGAGGCAATAAAAATAAATGCACATGAACGTCTCTGAATTCCTTATATCTAACCGGTATTCCCATCATTTCATAAACCAAAATAATCTGACATTTTTTTTCTCTCTCGGCAAGAAGGAGAACAGCTGTGATAGAGATTTTTTCAAAAATAACTTAATCTGGGTTATAAAAATTTTATATTAACCAACACTCAAAACATATGATTAACCACTTTACTTGTCTTCCAATAATAATGTATATCCTTCCTGCCTTCCAAAGTCAAATCTACATTTTTATCATTTTGAAATGATTAGTTTATCCTTATTATTATAAAAAGATTATCCACTAGTCTCCTTTTTCCCCCTTGTATATGGAAACAAAGAATCTTTATGATCCAAATAAAAAATTATTTTCTTCTCCATTGATCAGCACTGTATATTATAAGATGCTACAGGTAATAAATGACTGAATAAAGTGGAATTGATTGGAGTAACGGTCCCAAGACACAAAGATTATTTATTTCTCCATTAATTACCTATGAGTATAGGCTATGACGTATGAAAACGATATTGTTTGCCGGTTGGTCCGTGGTCCCTGGCAAAACCACAATTGAGTCACCAGTAACCAGATGCTGATTCCACTTGCTACAAATTATTATTACCAAGACTCTAAAAGACGTGGGGTGTTGACTGTTCATAATCCTGTTCACCTCTCTTTGTCTTTATGTTTATATATAAAGTTTTTAATTCAAGCGCAAAAAGCGTTAGCAGTCCAACGGTTAGGATAATTGCTTTATAACCAGTACACCTGATTTTGACTCCTCGCAGACGCATTTGCTCTGAATTTCTCCGGCTGCCTTTTTTTCTTTCACTTTTCTTTTCTGGGTTTACTTAATACCCTAAAAAAACACTTATTGTGTTTTGTTTTCTCCTCTCCCAGCCTTTCTTCTCCTTTTTACAAGCAAGGTTTTTTTTTTTTTTTTTCGTTTTTTAAGTAGTTTAGTTTCATTGATTCCTGTAGCAAGTGTTTTCTTTTTTCCTTTTTTTAGTTTAGTTTCATTGTACATGTTTTTTTTTTTCCCTTTTGTTTTTTTTTTCCAGCAATTTAGATTTTTTTTAATTTAATTTTTAAAAATTTTCAGGTTTGTTTTATTTTGATCTCTAAAATTTTAAAATAAAAATTTTAATCCCCTAACCGATGCTCTATAAATGATTTTTTTCTTTTTCTTTTTTTCATCAATTTATATTCTTTTTTATTTAATTAGATGTTAAATTTTAAAAAATCAATTTTGTATTTTCTTTCATTAATTTATGTTCTTTTTTTATTTAATTAGGTATTAAAATTTTAAAAAATCAATCATTATTTTTTTTACACAAATTGACTATTACATAATACATATGTTTCTTTCTTTTTTCCATCAATTTATGTTCTTTTTTTATTTAATTAGGTGTTGAAATTTTAAAAAATCAATCATTATTTTTCTGTTTTACATAAATCGACTATTATTTAATATATACTATATTTTTTATATTTATATGATATATTTCTCTTTTTTTAGTTTCACCAATTTAGGTTATTTTTTATTTTTTTTAAATTTTTAGATTATTTTATTTTGATCTCTAAAATTTTAAAATAAAAATTTTAATCCTCTAACCGATGCACTACATATGCTTTTTTTTCATCAATTTATGTTCTTTTTTTATTTAACTAGGTATTAAAATTTTAAAAAATCAATCTTTATTCTTTTTTTTTCTACACAAAGTGACTATTATATAATATATATGATATTTTTTACATTTATATGATATGTTTTAAGATTTTAGAATAAATAAACTACTATTATTGCTTAAAATTGATTTTTTCAATAAAAATTCTCATTAAGTTAATTTTTATTCTGATTTTTTATATAATTTTATTTATTAATAAATATTACTTATTTTCTCTATGCACGGATTTAAATAAGTTTTTTATACCTTTTTTCCTTTGCTTTTTTCATCAATTTATGTTCTTTTTTATTTAATTAGGTGTTAAAATTTTAAAAAATCAATCATTATTTCTTTTTTTACACAAAGTGACTATTATATAATATATATGATATTTTTTACATTCATATGATATGTTTTAAGATTTTAGAATAAATAAACTACCGTTATTGTTTAAAACTGATTTTTTTGATAAAAATTATCATCAAGTTAATTTTTATTCTTATTTTTTATATAATTTTATTTATTAATAACTATGACTTATTTTCTCTATATACGAATTAAAATAAGTTTTTTTATACCTTTTTTATTTTTTTTAATTCTTATATAATCAAATTTTAAAAATTGAATATATGTATTTTATTTTCTTATTTTTTATATAATTAAATTTTATCGAAATCAGTTTTATAGTTTTTGCTGCACTTTATTAACTTTAATTTATATTTTACTATTTAATTTTTTAAAAATATTTTTTTGTTTATTTTATATATTCTCACCTATTAAGTATGGTCATGATGTATAAAAAAAATTAATATTAGAGTCATTGATTTTATTATAAATTAATTATGCATTTACACATACAATACCAACTATTTGCTATTATTTTTTTTAATATTTAAAATGATTTTTTCAAATAAAGTAATTGAAATAATATTTTAGAATAATTGCTCGATAATTCACATATAATTTTCTATACTACTATTATTTATTACTTTATAAATAAATATATATAAATCAAATGTATATGTTTAAAAAAATCTTCTCATAAGTAAAAAAATTTTATTTTGTTAATTTTCATACAAGTTTTTATGTTAATTCTTGCTTTATTTTTTTGATGCAATATAATGAAAAACATATTAAGATGTTTTTTCCTAAATTTTATATTAAAATTTGTTTATTATGGGTTTTCATATGTATACTATCTTTTTATATTTTAAAATTAACATATACTTCAGACTTATATTACTCTTATAATTTAAATTTCATTCTTTGAATTTATCATTTTTTATGAAAATTCTCATCCAATTAATATTTTTATATAAGATTTTATTTAATGATAAATATAATTTATTTTTCTCTATGTTTGAATTTTAGAATAAAATTTTAAGAAATGATTTTTTTCTTTTTAAAAAATAAATTGGTACAATATATATCATGAATTCTTACAATTTTAAAATAATATTTACGTACATATGAATATATAATTATTTTATTCTAAAAGGTTAAAAGTGTATTTGAAATAATTTGTCTCGGTTCACTAGATATGGTCAAAACATATAAAAAAAACTATTGAATCGTTGATTTTGTTTAAAATTAACTATATATCTTTCAACATAATACAAATTATTTACCATGAATATTTTTTTAACATTATAGAACCAATTTATTTGAAATAGAAAAATCAAAATAATGTTTTAAAGGAACCAACTAATTATTCAAATATAATATCTTATGCTAATTGTATTGATTATTTTGTAAATAAATATATATATATATATATATATCTAATGCATATACTTAAAAAAAAAAAAAAAATCTTCTCACTAATATTAAATAAGAATAAAATTTTATTTTTTCATTCGTTAATTTTTATGCAAGTCTATACATTAATTATAACTTTATTTTTTGATACATTCTTATAAAAAAATATATATAGTTTTAAAGTATTTGCTTTTGAATTCTTAATTAATATTTAAGGTTTAAATTATTACAAGTTTTTATTTAAGAATTCTTGAATAAAAAAGAATAAATCATGTTTTTTTTAGCAGAAATTTTATGAAAAACACACAAAAAAAAATTATAATAATTAAATAAAAAATCAATGAAAAAATTATAAAATTTTTAAATTATTTTGTTCTATCTACCCGTAGCCTTGTGTAGATAATTTTAAAAATTAATCTTCTCATCAATATTAAATAAGAATTTTTTTTCTCATTTGTTAATTTTTGTAAAAGTCTATCCATTTATTATAACTTTATTTCTTGAAATAGAATATTATAAAATTATATTTTAAAATTTTTTTTAATTCTTGATTAATATTTTAGTTAAAATTGTTATATTTTTTTTATTTTAAAATCAATCCATGAAGAAGAATGATTTATGTTTTTTTTTAATCAAAAATTTATTCAAAAAAATTAAGTGAATAAAAAATTATAATTAAAAAAATTTAAATTTTTTTTTTCTACCAGACCCGTAGCATAGCGCAGGCAAATGGCTAGTAACAACTCTATATCATATTGTGGTACGTATAAAAAACAATCCTCCTTTGCAATGCATCTTCTGCTATATGTTATATACAAATTGCAAAGAGGCAAAATTTAGTTTAATTTCAAAAAGAAAAAACAAATCATGAATCTAAAACAGCAAGAATGAGTAAAGGAACAAAAGTGACATACAGCACCTAAAACTGGAAATTCAAGCACAGCTAACCCTTTTTTCTTAAACTGTTCCCAATTCAGCATAGAACTCGCAGAAAGATTAGCTCCACAGCTTAATCAAAGGTTTCCCATGTTGTTGTGACCACAACAGACTCAGAATGCCTCAATATTGGTCGCTGCTGCCGTGATGGCATTTCTCTTGTAGCATTCTGCTGCTTGGATTGAACAGAATGTTTTTGCATTGGTATTGCCACTTTCCCAGTTGAATTATCTCGTTGCTGCAATGGGATTTTGCCTCCGTTGCTTTGAATTGACTGCTTTTGCATTGATATTGGCATTATGCCTATTGAATTATCCTGTTGGTGTTGCTGCAATGGGATTTTGCCCCCATTGCTTCGAATTGGCTTCTTTTGCACGGGTGTTGGCATTTTCCCAATTGAATTATCTTGTTGCTGAAATGGGATTTTGCCTCCGTTGCTATTGGCAGTAGAACAGTTTGACTTCAGCTTATCCAGAGTTTCAATGTACTGTTGAACTCTCCTTTCCTTCAAGAAAGACAAAGGAAAGCAAAAAATTTGAACATTAATGGAATCGAAATGCGTGACAAGGATGCTAGTTGACCAATTAGAAGTCGCATAATACCTGCATTCTCTTCTGCAACCTCAAGTCTCCCTCAGCAAAAATTCCATCCAATGCTACTAATTTTGTCATCAACATTTCAGTCAAATCCTCCACATCTTTCTCTGCAACTTTTCCTCCTTTATAAGTTGTTGTTTCCAAGGATGTCACCTATCGAATTGCAATAAAAAGAAGTTTGCTGTTACCAGAAACTGTAATCTGATTTCCGATATTTGTTTTCAAGTCAATTTACTTACCTTTCCGCCAAGTTGGTCAACTTCCAAGGTGATCTGTTGCAATGACTTTGAACCGTTTTGTATCTTAGCAGATTTAAGCATCTCAAGACGCCGCCTTTCGCGGCTGGTAATGTCTTCAATTAACACAATTTTGGATCCATCTTTCACTCCTGTAATATCTAAATACGCCGTGGAATTTCTCTCCTTCTTCTTGTATATCAGCTTTTGATCCTCATGGTGCACTCCTGTATGTTGTGCTAGCATTTTCTTCAGTTCTCCTGCAGCCCAAAAACCAACTCCTTAATCTCCATCATTCAGAAAATTTAAAGTCAAAAGTATCACGAATCTAAACAACGACATGGAGGTTTAAGGACTATCAAATTACCAAAGCTTGCTTGAGAACTGATACTAATTTCGTGACATGAAGAACCGTATTTGACTTTAACTTTAATAGAGGAAACAAGAACAGAATTGTGATTGGAATCAGCCGTGGTTCTCTTTTGAACTAACATTCCTCCTGGCCTAATTTCCCATTCTTCAATAACATTCATATTGCCTCTGCCAGCAGAAGAGTCCTCCTTATTCCCCTGAGTAAACATCCCTTTAATAGTTGACCTCATTAGCTCTATCTGCATATATTCCTGATCTTGCCTTGGGCCTAAGATAATCCCAGAAGAGAAGAAAGAACTTTAGATCTCTAAGAAAGTTATCTCCATTGATCATAAGCAGTGCTTTCAAAGAAACCCACTTTAACAACAACTGAGTTCAGAGAACAAGGTGTGTAACATTTGGACTCAGTACTGAAATGCTATAAATACAAGAAAAGGAATTTTACACGAAAGAAAACAGGTTTGTATAAGAAGACAATGGTGATTATGAAAACGAGGATAAAAAACAAAATAAATTTTTATAGATTGAGAAATAGTTAATGAAGAAATATTTGCTATAGAGAGAGAGAGAGAGAGAGAGAGAGAGATAGAGGTGATATCTTTGCTGAAGAAAGATTGCTGAAGGAGGAGAGATAGGAAAAGAAAAAGGAAATGGAAAAAAGAAAACGAGTGGCCAGCGAAAGATGTGAGTGAGGAGAAGAATTTATGCACGTAAACAAAATTAAAGAACGAACAGAAGGGTGTTTTTATTTTTGGAAATTTTGTTTGTAACGAAGAAGAGACGAAATTGAAACGGAAACTTTTGGCGTTATTTGTATGGTATAGAAAATTTAACCATTTGAAAAAGGTGTAAGCTAAATGGAGGGAAGCAGAAAGAGGATATATGTATATATATATATATATAAGAAAGATTATGATATTTGGTAGAATTGCCATTTTTTGGTACTTCTCATGGTTAGAACCGTGTTTTTTTTTTTAGCATAGTAAATTGTAGGAGAAAAGTTGTTCCAATTTCCTTCAATTAATAAAACTAGATTTACATACAATTTAGGGTGAATAAACACATGCTAGTCAAGTCATTGTATTATTTAAAAACTGGATGAACTAATTTTAATCAACATAATTAAATCCTTAAATTTGTTTAGAAACTAATTAAATTCGAGGAAAATCGGTGACCGTTTACCCTAAATTTTATACGAAGAAAATGAAGAAGGAAACAGGAAAGGTGAAAGAAAACAATAGTAAGAAGCAGTCGTTTTCTACGAACTGGAAGGCAATAATCTAGGAGGAAGAAACGTGGCGAGGCAAAGAAATATAGATGTCCATCTGTAGCCAGTTGTCATTGACCTGTCTGTCTGCTTGCTTGTTTGTTGGGCTAGAGGAACGCTGTTGTCATCATTGATATCATTCAAAGGACATACCAAAAGCATATTGTTGTTAATGTCAAGTACTTGGAATCCTGCCGAATACATGCAAGAATTAAATAAGACCCCCAAGGTATTTTTTCATGCAAAATACATAACAAGAATAAGAATAACATCGTATATTTTTATTTTTATTCTACAATAAGAAAAAATATTTATTATTAGATCAATTAAAACTAAATCTCTTTTCCAAACAATCTTAAGTACACAATTCCATGTTCATCTATACATTTTCGGAAAAAAAATTTTAATAGCATTATGATTTAAATCCAAAAAAATCAATGAATAAAACACATTTTTTTAGCTATCAAGCTAAGTCCTTGTGGCATGCCCAATTTTATTCTTTGATGAAATCTTTTTAAAAGCAATTTTTTTTCTTTTGATTCGTACCCAATAAAACATCCTTAAAAGCTTAGTTATCCAACTTGAACTATCGATTTTGCATAAAACAAAATCTCATACATATTTACTCATCTGGACAAGTAAACAATGGTTGAGAGATAAAAACCGTAAAGATTAGCCGACAATGGATGGCCCAACTAAGAGTTAAGATGGGTTCTGACTGAAAATAAGGCCCACCGACATCATGACAAACAAAACAGAGAACCCCCAGCTCAAGCGCATACCGGCCGAAAAGGAAGAAGCATTTTGTTTGTCACATCAATACACAACAGAGCGAGAACAGGAAATATTTCCAGAACAAACAAATAAGCCACAAATCGATGACAGTGGTAAGTAATAACAATACACTCTAAGAGCTTAGTTCAAACTCAAATTTGGGCTTCATGCATCTGGAGTCTTGGAGCATAGCAGTTTCCCCAGGAATTTTATCCCTACGAGACTTCGTCAGGACGCGTTCCCCTCTAGGATCATGGATCTGTTCGCTCAGTTGTGTCGTTACAAATGAATGAAAAAATTCACCATAATTGGACTGCCATTTCTATAACAGGGTAGAGGGGAGCTGAATCAGATACAGGAAACAAGCGTTCTAAATTACTAAGCAATAAAGATGTGCACCTACCCAAAAATCACAAATGTTACACCACCTTGTTCGCAAGATCAACAATCTGCTTCAAATAAAACAGGAGAAGAGTAGCATCATAGCATCTGCCGACCAAAGTCTCTTTCGAACACTGTAGCCATAAGAGATGAAGGACGGATCTATGTAGATTGCAACTATGAACCTTCCATTTTTACGTCGTCCATTTTGCCACACCATAATGATACTAATGCAGGTAGGGGAATCTAATCTATAAGAAGCTTGCTACTTCTGAATCATATGACACTAAAAAAATCAAAAGGCAACAATTAGGCACATACAAGCTACTAGTCCTCCCACTCACCTCTCTTTTTGACACTTAATCTGTCACTCTATTTACTGAATAAAATAAAACTTAATACACAATACATCCGACTTATACTTACAAAGTGATTGGTCAGTGGCCATAAAAATTCGAGAACAGGAAAGGTCTTGCAATCTAAAAAATAATCTCTCTAGAACAGAACAACAATATTTTACCTTCCCCTCAATGGGAAGAACGTATGAGAGAGAAGGGGAAAAAAAAACAACATGAACATAAGCAATCAAGCAAAACCGCAAGAGAATCCTTTGATGTTTGAATCACACTTAAACAAAATGGGTGGTCTGGTGTTCAGGCACTGGGAAACAGAAGATTAGGGTCTATGTATCTATGGAGATAAAAGGAGAGAAAGGGGGAGAACTCTACATGGATTTGGTTGGCCTGCATAAACAGGCTTGTGCAAAGATACAAGGGTCCAGTCTGACAAGAAGGATTCATTGGAAACTAGGGAACCACAATTTAATGCCAAAAGCCTAAAGCACCTCCACAGTCTGTGGATACACATGCGCGTAAAGATATGTTCAATCTCCAGAAAAGCTAGCTGCTTGCTATGTAAACTTAGGGAGTTAATCATGGCATTGCAAAAACATAAGCATGACATGGTGGCCCAAATTTTAGTCTTCAAATTGTCTTTTGTCCTCCCAAACAAACTACAAATAAAAACCCAACACTTCCTACGTAAAGAAAAATATCCATTCCAATGGACTATTTGCTCAAGTACAAAAGCAATCTTGTTATATATGATCAGTAAAAACTATACTCTCAAGTGATATCTTCATCTCACAAGTACCTATATTATAATGACAGTGGATGAGCTGAATCCAAAAGGCAAGTGCAGCACATTGAACGCACAAGTATTGACTATAAACAAACAGTCGCAAGATGATAGAGTTTCCCGATCCGTCCCACTATCAGATTAAAGACTCTGAGCAGAAACACATCAAGGTAATATAAGTCTAATCAACAATGGCATTCACAAAAACGATGTCACAAAAGCTCAATAACCAAAAAAAAAAAGTAGTACGCACGAAACCACCACAATAATTGAACCATACAAATGCAAGAGCACCATTAACAGAGAAATGAAACTGACAGAGATTAAAGATAGAAATAACACCCTAAAAAAGAAAAAAAGAAGGAACACGTCAGCTACCTCAGCATCTCATTCCAACTCATGCAATCCAGCAATTAGAAGCCAAAGCAAGAAAGGATTAAGTTATCACACTGAATTTTCACAAGAACATTATCCAACTAAACTACGCATCAAGGCAAAGTGCAAAAGAAGAACAAAACTGCAAAAATATATGGCAAGGGATTCGAAAGTTTTGCTAAAATGGAGGAAAACTAATTGCACAAAGCTGAAGATATGAAGTTTGACACCGCCATCCAAAATGTACCAATAGAGCATATTTCCTCTGATGTGTTACCTACTCAAGAATGGACTGAATAACACCAGCTCCAACAGTCTTCCCTCCTTCTCTGATTGCAAACCTCATACCTTGCTCACAAGCCACAGGCATAATAAGTTCCACTACCATCTTCACACGATCCCCAGGCATAACCATCTTCGACTCCTCATCCTTATCATTCATAATCGTAGCCACCCTCCCTGTAACATCAGTGGTCCTCATATAAAATTGAGGCCTATACCCCGCGAAGAAGGGAGAATGCCTGCCACCTTCTTCCTTCTTCAAAACATAAACAATCGCCTCAAACTTAGTATGTGGAGTAATTGTCCCTGGCTTCGACAAGACCATCCCTCTCTGAATATCAGCCTTTTGAATACCTCTCAACAACAACCCAACATTATCACCTGCCAATGCTTCATCCAATATCTTTTGAAACATTTCCACACCAGTAACTGTTGTATTCCTAGTCTCCCTCAACCCCACAATATCTACTGTATCCCCAGTTTTAATCGTACCTCTCTCAACCCTCCCAGTAGCTACAGTCCCACGACCGGTAATCGAAAAAACATCCTCAACAGCAAGTAAAAATGGCAATTCAGTTTGCCTTTGAGGAATTGGTATATAATTATCAACATGATCCATAAGTTCATAAATTTTATCGACCCATTGATTCTCTCCTCTCTTTAGAGCCGGATTTTCCATCAAAGCCTCTAAAGCTAACAAAGCAGAACCAGAGGTAATTGGAATCTCATCGCCAGGAAACTCATAACTAGACAACAATTCTCTTACCTCCAACTCTACCAACTGCAACAGCTCCTCGTCGTCAACTTGATCTTGTTTATTCAAAAACACGACCATATTTGGAACCCCAACTTGTTTTGCCAACAATATATGTTCTTTTGTTTGTGGCATTGGACCATCAGCACCAGACACAACCAAAATAGCTCCGTCCATTTGAGCAGCACCAGTAATCATGTTCTTAACATAATCAGCATGACCAGGGCAATCAACATGAGCATAATGGCGAGATGCTGTCTCATATTCAACTGTAGCAGTGTTAATTGTGATTCCTCTAGCGCGTTCTTCCGGTGCAGCATCGATTTCGTCGTATTTTTTGGGTGCACTGCCACCCATAGAGGCTAAAGCCATGGTTAAAGCAGCAGTGAGAGTTGTTTTGCCGTGGTCTACATGGCCTATGGTGCCTATGTTGACATGGGGTTTCTTTCTTTCGAACTTCCCTCTAGCGGCACGGACAGTGAAGGTGCGGTGGCGGGTGGTGATGAGGGAGGAGGTTGGGGAGGTGGGAGTGAAGGGGGAGAGGAAAGAAGAGGAAAGGATGAATTTTGAGGGGAGTTTGGAGGTGGATTTTAGGGAGAAAGTAGGGGTGGAGGTAGAAGATGCGTTGGTTGTGTGGTTGGGGTAGAGGAGGTTTGTGGAGGTTAAAGTGATCGTTGAGGCGGAAACAGCCATTAGAAGTGGCGGATTAGAGAGTTGTAGACGGAGAGGGAGAGACGGTGTTTTTTTGATTGGGAGGGGATACGAGAGGACGAGTTTTGTTATCTCTTTTTGGGTAACAAAAGAAGGGCTGTTATTTAGAGTTTTATCCTCTGCTGCTTGCAGCGGCTTCCTTCTCAGACTAGAGGCAAGTTGTCACAAGGGTAGCATGGAAAGTTCATGAAACCACCAGTCAAATTCTAACACGTGGATGAGAGATTGAAGGTTGCTAAGAACTTAATGCAGTACTTGCTCCTCGTTAAGATTTAGTTAGGCAAGACTGTCCTATGAGGTTACTGGGTAAGTGGACAGTGGCTTCCAATTAAGGAATTAAAATTTGAAGTGAGTTGACGTATTGGTACTTCTATGAATTGTATGCAACTCATGGCCATGGAGTTGTGTCCGTGTATTGACTGTGGAGTTCAGCCATAAAAGTGCTGAACTTAAATCTATTTCAGCATCGTAGGGGTTTGAGGCCCATAACCACTGAGAGTTCAGTGGTGAGCACTTGTTGTTCATAGGAAATGGGGTAACCTTACGTGCAATTTGAGGTCCCGTTATGATTGTGTTAGCCTTAAGGTCCTGCCGATATTGGAGCCACGTTAATCCACTGAGGCCCTTGCGTTTCTAGAAACTTGTTGGAGCTCAAATCCACCAGACAAAATATAAAGATCTATTGTCCAAAATGTGATTTTCTTTCCTTTTTTTTTTTTTTGGATAATTCCATTCTCTAGATCAAATTGTCTAATCCAGGCATTATGCGTGATACGGATTCGCTGAAAAACCTCCAGAGCTAATCGATGGACATGGACTACTGTTCTGGAAAAAAGAAAAGGATAAGACTGGACTTGAATGCCTGAGGCGATGGCTCTCTACTAAAATCATGTACTTGCCATAGGATAAAAAAATGTGGAAGCTGGAAAGCCTATCCAAATACCAACAAATTCAAAAGCAAGATTTGAAAACGAACCAAGTCAAGCACGCTATGACTACGGTAAAACATTAGCTCTATTGATTAGAGAATCATAGATGAGTATGCAAACTATTTTCTTTTCCTATTTTCCTTTCCATATCACTGAACAAATAAATGTCGTCCCAACATTACTGCAGTAAACCCAATGGGGCTTGTAGACATGAAGATGTAACGCACAAAGCTTCATGCTTATGTTGAAATTAAAATTCAGAGAGCAAAATGTCAAAGATCAAAATAAATGATATAAAAATTGGGAAACAATTGAGGAAGCCAAAGGTTATTGGCCATTCTCCTGGTCTCGTTGCAAGAACTCCAAAGACAACATCAGAGAAGAAAATGCTACCTCACTGTTCCTTACGGGGTTTAGATCTGGCAGGCTTTGCTGGTTTAATTATGTTGCCAAGGAGGATCAATACTATGGGTACAATGGTTCCAATGTAATATACACTACCATATAAAGCAATTGTTTCTTGCAAGCTTAACACCTGTGCCACACGAGTAGGAGAAACATTAGGCTCAAGAAATATCAAATTTCAGCTTCTAAAATGGTTTGTTCCAATAAGAGATAGAGCTGACCATGAAACCAACAGCAGAATAGTTTAGAACCAGAACAGTGTAAGCAAAGCTTATAAACACAAGCAACTTCTTGACCACAGCCATATTTGGAGGTATAGCTTGTTGCCATCTGTATAGGACTGCTCAGGGTGGGGGAAAAAGGGTTAGCAATCTCTTCCAATTTTCTTTTCAACTATGTACAAAGAAAATGACCACACACACAAAAAAGTAAAATAAAAATAAAATAAAGATTCCAGGTCATACCCCTAGAACCGGCAATCATCAATGCTGACTGGACAAAGAATATTATGTACCCAGGATACAATCCCTGTGATTTGTACAGAGAGAGGACAGGAAAAGTTAAAATCAATGAATAATATTATACATGAAAACTCTGTGAAGATTAAAAAAAAAACATACATAGTAATAGGTATTTCTGAGAAGAAAAATGCAAAATGCTAGGAAAATTCCACAGGTAATAAGTCAAGGAAAAAAGTCAGAGATTTGAGAAATTGAAATGTGGGATGCTATGAAGGATCATGTTGCAAAACAAAAGCTACGGCAGAATCCTTCGCTCCAGTAAAAATTTACCTATTGGTGCTTTACCGATCTTTTTCAATTTCAATGACTTGAGAAATTGAAATATGGAATACTATGAAAGGATTAGGTTGGTAATACAAAAGCTATGGCACAATCCTTTGCCCTTTTCAAAAATTTTGCCTATTGGTGCTTCACTGATCTTTTCAATTTGCAACAACAGCATATAGCATCATTATTATAAACGAAGCTATGAGGCGCGCAAATACATAATTTAAAAATAAGTTTCCTGACCACCCACACAAAGAGAAGAGGTGGTTGCATATTATACTCACATGCCAAAAAGCACTGGTAGTCTGTGTGGCTAACAACTGAAAGAAACCAGGTTTCTTCCCCTTCTGAACAAGTCTATCATAAACATCTACAACAGCACAAATAGCACATGAAGTTAGTACAACAGATTGTGTCTCATATTCCCATATGTTCATAGGACATTGAAGTAAACATTACTCGTCATCTTCAGGTGCTATGACGAATTCCTATTAATACGTATATCCTACCAATAAAACTCAGCAAGAACTTGAAACAAAAGTGGAGATTTAGGAAAGCTGATAAACTCACAATGACGAAGCCAAGTGCTCACTTGTATGTTCCATACAAGTGGTAGCTGAACTGCACTCTTAGCAAACTCAACACCTAGAATGTCCACATTTTTTGCACGATCCCATTTTGGCTTTGTTGAAGTCTCTGTCCAACCACTGAAACCCAGGCCAGAGATAATAATAGCTGCCTCTGAAATTGACCAGATGAAATAATATTTCCAACGTGCTGTGAGACATGACATATACTGGTAACTCAACCGTTTCCAGAAGCCCCATTCTTGGTATGTGGGACCATTGAGCCCAGATATGTTATACTGGGGTATCAGGTACAGATACAAGGCCATGCAAACAGCAGCTTGGAGAAGAGCTTGAATTGTTGCCCCGAAAGGTGATGGTGAAGGTCCTTTCTCAGTAGGGGACCAAATCTGCAAAGATATATTAACAAAACTAAGAACCAAATACTCCCAACAAGACAAGGCATCAACTCAACTTAATTAACAAAAACTAAGCCTCTCTCCCAAAAGTTGGAAAAAATTAATAGATCTTTTCTTTTTTCCATTCTCTTTTGCAATACCAGACTGTCCATCAAGACAAAGCATACAGAAGTACAAACTAAATACAGTAAACCTACCCCTTTCCCTTCAGTCCACTCAAGATAATCCTTCATTTCAAAAACTGGACCAGCGAAGTGACTGCCACAACAGAGGCAGTAACCAACGTACTCAATAAAAGAGGGCAGCTTAATCAAGCGGTTTTTCTTCTGAGCCTCTCGCAATTCTTCCTCTTTTAATAGTCCATCATTGTAATTCATGGCGCATGATATGACTTTCAGTGTTAACACCATTAAAGCCCCTGGTAGTAAAAGAAAGTGATTCATCACCCCACAGTAAATAGTTCCCGCAGAGTACACCAATTTCCATTATCATCATTACGAAATCTGAAATCGTGCTTACCAGTGGCATCAATGCCTCCTTCCTTCCATGCATCCCCGCTCATGTAATACACATGGCTACACATGGACACCAATAATCAAGAACTCAAAAATAAAAAGGGTAAATTTTTCCCAAAAGAAAAAAAGAAAACTTTTCTTCAGTCCCATTTGATTAAAATGAATATACTCTAGACTCATATTCAATAGAACATCAAATAAAATTTAAAAAAAACAACAACAACACTGTCACTTGAAATTCATAAGGCGATACTATATTCCACATACACAGCAAACAGCTGCAAACTGAAGATCAAACTCAGCATTCCCATGATAATGCCTATTTCTAGCTAAAAGCAACTTATAATCTCTCCTTACACATCAAAACACTTCTTTTTGTCAAAATAAATAACTAAATAAACAACAGTCACCAGTTCCTACTTCCACCCGACATAAACAAGATGAAACAAAACATGCAGCATTTGAGCTTTCCATCATTTCAAACTAGAGGCATGCATTCAATTAGCTCCAATGCTATCATTTACCCTCACAAAGAAAGCAATTTCCAAATTCAAAATTTTTCTCTTCTTCTACATTCAGCCTGCAATTAATGCATTAATTTGTAACGGAAACCAAAGATTAAAACTTCAAGAAAAAGTCAAAATAGTCAACCCTCGAAGTCCATTTAATGAAGCAACAAATCATCACAGCACAACAATGAACGATTAATTCAAGTAAAATTTCTATAAAACCCAGCTCCAATTAATCAAAAAACGACTAATTCATAAAAATGAGCTTTGTTTCTCAAAAATTATTCAAATTAAAAACACATACCAGCCAATTAAATAGCCGAATCCAAAAAAAAACGTGAGGATCCCACAGTAAGGCCGAAACAGGACCATCGAAAGGTAACCCAACAACATGGGGACCAAGAAGTGAAGATTTGAAGAGAACCCAAATGACAAATACGAGAGGAAAACTCCTGAGAGGGCAGCGTACAAGTGCTTGCCGAATGGACTCGGTACGAATCGGTGGATGAAACTCGCTGGAATCGTCGCCACAAAGCATAAAAGGAACCTCAACACTGGGATTGAGACCCCGATTGCCGCGGCCATGGATTCCATTTCCAAAGCCATGGTGATTTTGGTGATTGGCTCAGGCCAGTCTGACTCTTTTGGAGGTTTGTATCCGTACAGTTGCAACTTTAGTCTTTTTTTCTGACGACCGTAAAAAAAAAAATCGGAGATTTTTGCTATGCTGTTCTAATTGTTTGTGCTTTTGAGGGCTGGTACCCTTTTTCCAATTTGGGTTCAAAGGGTACAAAATGTCTGATGGTACAATATTATGAAGCGAGGTGATCGGTGATTTAGACGGCAGAGAGCTATAAAATCGAGAGATTTTATTGGCTGTGCGTGTTAAGTAGACATCGGCTTTTATTGCGTTGAAATCATCGAGATGAAAACATTTAATTAATTAATTGTGATGTAAGAATTTCTCCATGTCTTCCAAATCAAAATACTACTCCTACTCCAATATAAAGAGTTTAAAACTTTATCTTGTTATTTTGTAATGGCCAAAAAAAAAATCAAACATCTTTTGATTTTTATTATATTTAAAAATCAGTTTTAAAATTTTTAATTTATATTTTGATTTTTTTGAAATTTACTTTTTTAAAAATATAGTCTAATCTTTAATTTTTTGTCATTATTCTAAAAATAAAAATTACATAAATAGTTTTATAATAAAAATTATTTAGTGAGATTTATCTGAAACTCTCTAAAAAAATCTGAATTATTTTGGTTTATTTAATATTCAAAAAATAAATAAAAAACATAAATTCCAATCTTGAAAAATTCTAAAATTTCTCTAGAAAATGGATTGGATTTTTTCTAATGTATTTGCAAAACTTGTAAAATCTAATAATTTAATTTTTTAGAGGAGATGAATGATTGTTGAAAATCACAAATAGACTAAATTTCAAATATATATATATATATATAACAAATTGAAAAATTAAAAAGTAATTTTTAAATATATTAAAATTCAAGAGAAGTTCGGTCATTTAGCCCTTTTATCCCAACTTTAATGCTTTTATTTATAGTTGTGTTGTAATGTGTTCTTATAATAGGAATGATATTGTTACCACTCCTCCTAAAGGTGGGATTAACAACCTTTTTCTTCTCTTCTCTTCATCTTGGACTTGTCTAGGGTTTTGGCTTGTTAACATTAATTTTTAATTTGGATAAAGATGGTTCATTCGAGTTACTCATATGGTGGTCTTCTTTTTATATCCGAAATTAAGAATTTTAAAATCTCATGGTAAATTATAAAAATAAAAAGAAAAGAAATTTTGATCACATCAACATGCTAAATAACCAAATTTTATTTGACATGATTCCACAGAATCAACAAATAACCTAATTTTATTTGATATGACCGCACAAAAGCAATAAGAGTAAAAAGTTAATATAAAGAGCAACTAGAGCTTTGTTTTGGATTGGGAAAATTGCTTATCATGACCCCGAGAGTGAGTCATGATCAACATAAGGACCGAGGGAACCATGGGGCTTACCTTGACCCAAGCAAGTTTCGAATACTAATCTAAAAGGTGCAATTGTCATTTCATCAAATATCATTTCAATTTGCATTATCCCATATTAATAATCATTATATCACTTGAACAAAAATCACAATTTTAATATTATCATTACATTTCTCAATCTATATTCATAATTAATTCCTAATATAGTACCCATAGTTATAACCGTAGAGCATCTAAAAATACATTTAGAATGAATATAGGTTTAAAGAAACTTACAAGGAAGTAATCCGCATGGTCAATGTGCCGACTTCGAATCAAACGAGTCAAAAGAAGTAATAAGCAATCCCTTGATATCCTATAAGACTGAAATAATAAGGGGTGAGTAATCCACGACTCAATAAGTAGACATTATATAATATACTAATAGAGGAAAATGAAATAAGATCGATAATTACAAATTCATCTCAATATGTTATGTTAGTTTCTCAAAACACATGCACATCGAAAACACATCTCATATCATAATTCAAATGGTTCAAAACCATTTTGTATCAAATCGTTCACACATTTGTATATATATATATCATACTCATACGAAAACACATATATAGGTTCTTTAATACATCCATAGGGTAATAACATATCACTAGATGCGAACACCTAAAGGTCACACCCCCATGGCTAGGTTTTCGCATGTTAGTGACACAAGGTCTAACACTACAACTCTCTTACTAAATGGAGCCTTTGTTTCATTGATCTCAAAAGCTACCCCTTCGATAGCTAGGCTCCTTAGAGTCTCGAAGGTATATTGTAAAAACCAAACATACTTATATATTCTAAAATTGATAGTTCAAATACCATATATGTCTTTTCGGAAAATACACATATATTTAAAATAACGAATATATCATATTCATTTTAATTCAAAATCACATATCAATTTTGATAACATATTAAAATCTCTTTTTTCATTCACACCAAATCATTTTGATAAGAAAACATTTCTAACATTATGAAGTCTATTCCCATCTAAGTTCTATTGGAAGGCTTCTAAATCATTCTTAAACAATGATGCATGATGGACAAAGCAAGAACTTTAAAACATAATACATAATATAATATCCACTCAAGGTATAATTTGAAAATCCGAATGAAATCAAGACGGTTGGGGCAAAGTCACCATCTTCAAAGAATCTAGCATCACAAGATGATGGGGCATCCATCAATATCATTTCTCAAGGAATAATTCAAAACGATGAAATTAAAAATATAAGATTATCAAAGAAAAAAGAAATTGATTGGAAAGACTCAAACCGATAACCTTAACTAGAATTTATAATCTCTTGATAATTCGATCCATTGTTTCATTAAATCCCATCATCACCAACTTTTAATTAAATCATGAATTTTCAATTCAAACATTTAATCAATCAATCTTTCATTCAATTGATTTCCAATTACATGATCCATTACATTCTAATTCATCAAATACTCATTCCATTAACCTTGAATTGCATTTATATAGCTTAATTCATCATTTTCCCTTAGTTCTTTCCAATTAAAACCTAAATTCGGATTTATCACTATTCATCATCTTCAACCTCTCAATTTCTCAAATTCACTCAACTTCACTTCAAATTAACTTCTTAATTCACTTATCCGGGACAATTAAACATCATTCAAGCCATCATGATCACTTAAAATCATTTTTTCCCAAATGAATCTTAAAACCCTAGCCTTATTCTAATCAATCTCTCAAGTAATCAACAAAGCCAAAGCAATTGCATTTCAATATCATTATTAATCACATATAAACTTCATAATTCTAAGATCAACGAATCAAAATTCTTACCTTTATACTAAGCTTCTCGAATCCTAAATCACTCATAGCTCTCTAAGCTTTTCTAGCTCCAAGCTAGCTAAGCTCTACTTAATCAACTAGTTTAAGATTTCTCTAAGCTAATTTAACAAGAGTTTAGCTTAGAAATTGAAGAGAGGAATGTGAAGAAATGTTTGGAAAGAAAATGGATGAGAGAGGGAGAAAGCGAAGAAAAAATAGAGGGTAGCAGTTGCCCCCTCCTTTTATACCCAAACTTCATTTTTTTTAATTCGATTATTACATTCGTCCCTTTTTAAGAAAATTCATCCTCAAATTTTGAGTCAACCTAAACCTTAGTAGATGAATAATTGAGGATACTTTTTTTCCTCTTCGATCTTTCGAGTAGCTTCTTCGATCGAATGGTTCCTTTAAATGACCTTGACGGACACAATCTCTTTATTTTGTAATTTCTTAACTCGACGGTCCACTACGACCATTAGTTGCTCCTCATATGACAAATCAAGACTTAATTCTATCAATTGCAACTCTAAGATATGGGATGGGTCGGATACATATTTCCTAGGTATGAAAATATGAAACACTAGATGTATTCTTGAGAATTAGGACAACAATGCCAACTTATAAGCCATTGCTCTAATTTGACCAATAATTTCAAATGATCCGATATACCTCGGCTTCAACTTCCCTTTCTTACCAAATCGCATTACTCTTTTCATGGAAGAAACTCTAAGAAACATAAAATTACTGATTTAGAACTCTACATGTCTCATCTTAGGATCTATATAACTCTTTTGTCTACTATGTGTAGTCCTAATATATTTTTTGAAGCAACTTTATCTTTTCGATAGTAAGTCTGAATCAAATCGGGCCCTAAAGGTTTCTTTTCTTTGGCTTACGCCTAACATATTGGTAATCTATATTTTTTACCATACAAAGTCTCATAGGATACCATACCAATACTAAAATGATAACTATTATTGTACGAGAACTCAATCAATAGCAAGTGATGATCCCAACTACCTTCTAGATCCATTATACATGCCCTAAGTATATTCTCTAAGATTTGAATTATCCTTTCGATTGATCATCTGTTTGAGGATCAAATGATATACCGAAGTCTAGTCTCATACTAAGTGCCTAACATATTGGCAATCTATATTTTTAACCATACAAAGCCTCATATGGTGTCATATCGATACTAGAATGATAACCGTTATTGTATGAGAACTCAATCAATAACAAGTGATGATCCCAACTATCTCCTAGATCCATCACACATGCCTTAAGAATATCCTCTAAGGTTTGAATTATCCTTGTCGACGTCGACCATCCACTAGAGGACGAGTCGAAATAAGGAGTCGCCACTTAGCTAATTGAGAAGAACTAGAAAACCCTAAACGTACTTAGTCTAAATGAATATCCGGGTAAGGGGTTGGTTACGTATGAGGAATATATGATACGAACACCATCTTGTCCGACCTAAGGTAGGTTGCATTGTTTGCCTATGGATATAAAAATCTAGTTTTTTTATTTTGTTATACTCATATGCCTATTCAAATGAATTTATTTGGTAAAAATGAGGAATATGGTGGTTTGGGTGTAAAATAGGATAGTTTGGGAGTTCAAGCCGATCTAGGACCAATACTCCTACCCAACGGGGAAAGGTGGAAGAATTTAGAATTTTAGCTAATCATTAGTGAACACGATCTATTATCAACCAATGGGTAAGTTTCTAAAGATGAATAGCAAGTCATCGACGACTTTGCTTACATAAGTGGAAAGCCACCGATGACTTCGAATGATGAGTTTGAAGAGAACGATAACCTTATCACATAAGTTAAAAGTTATTGATCACTTTATTTAGCTCGAGCAAAGAGCGGATAACTATTTAGAAGTCATCGATGGCTTTGTCATATAAGTAAGAAACCACTAGCGACTTCGTTTCAAACAAATAGACATTAAATGAAAAATTATTTTTGAGGCCACTAGCGGCTTCATCATATAAGTGCGAAGCCACTAACGACTTCATTTGGATGAAACGAGCAATAAAACATCGAGAATAGAAATTAGGAAACGAGTAAACAAAATATCAAGAAAAACGAGAGATTAGACACCAAGCAAAATGATTTTGAAACCCCCGATGGCTTTATTGTAGCATTGTAAACAATCATAAAAAGTCAATTGAATCATAAAAATTGAGACAAATTTCATATTTAAATAAACGAGGCATAATAACAGGAAAACATGGCATACTTGTTTCTTAATGATCTTTGCGGTAATGTTTCATTTTGACTACATTTATTTTGTAAATGTTATGCCAATTATCACAATTTTAATCACATTCCAAAGCATACGAGTCATTTTCAAATATGTATCACGCTTTCAAAAATGTCATGTTATAAGATTTTTTTACCCAAAAAGTTCTAAAGTGTCGATGTTAGATTCAAAGTCGATCTTACCCTCTTCGTTCTCGATGATAATCGAATATTCGTTTAGTCAAAAAAGGAAGGTAACTCGCTGGTTGAGAATGTGAGGTGTGAGTGTCGCTAAAGTGACCAAAACCCTTCGTTACTCGGGTGAACACTTCAAAGTTACTTGTAAAATTTTTAGAGTTTCGAAAGCCCAAAGTAGCTTTTGTTACTTATTTTTCTATCAAACATAATCAACCCAAATACAATCTTCAACATCATGTTGTGGCTGCTAACAATTCAACACAAAAAATATATATATTTTTAGCCGTTCTCTTTTCAATAACTTTTATTTCCTCAATTTCGGTCGCTAAAAAAAAGTGTTCAAAAGTCTGTTTTGAAAGAGGTTTTTTGTCTGTTTTGGAGGGCGTTTTGGAGGGGTTTATATGGTTTTAAAGCTGATTTGGGGGTGTTTTTTAGGCTGATTTAATGGTTTAAATGGGTTATTCAAAGAGGTTGCTCTGTAAGGGCTTTTAGGGATCGTTAGTAGCAATTGTAAGACTATATAAACTATCGTTAATGGCTATTTTGTGTCCGGATTTTGGGCGGTTTTGGGACGTGTTTTGGGGCTATCTCAAAGATGGATTGGGGGTTTTAATGGCTGTTTTTGTGGTTTAAAAAGGTTTCCTAGAGTGGTTTCACTTGTAAGGGTTTTTGGGATCGTTGGTAATAGTTACGAGGTCGATTTTGGACGTTTTTATTGTTTTTTTTTCAAGTCGGTTTTGGGGCTCCTTTTTGAGGTTCTTCGGGGCTTTATTGTGGGCTAGAATGGAGATCTGTTGCTAAGTTTAGGGGTTGGAGTATGGGTGAGAGGAAGGACCGATGAACAAGCTAAAATGGTGGATGTGGGGTCGTGTTTGGAGGGGTCCGGTGTGATAGTTGAGGCTGCGGTGGCAAGCACACAAGGTAGAAGGCATGTATTGCAAGGGAGTGGTTCGCTGGTTACGCATGCATCCGGTGGCTTGTTGTTCGCTAGCTCACGCATACCTAATTGGCTTGTTGATGGGCGTGGGAGTGAACTATGGGCGAGAGAGAGCGAGTTGTAGAGGCCGAGTGCGGCATAAGGCTTGGGCGAGAGGGGCTGTGGACGGCGACATTGGGTGTAAGTGGGGCTATATTGGTGTGGTAGTCGAGAGGAAGGAGACTACCGACGTGTGGGGTGAGGGATGACTAGCTGGTTATCTTTGCGTGAGTAAGGGTCGACTAATGTCGTTTGTGCTTTATGTGGGAGAAAGCTATTTTTGGTGTCTTACGATTGGGGCCTCTCCTTTTTGGGTGACAATAAACACTAGCTTTATACCAAGAAATGCATGCAAGCTTTGAGGTTTTTTGGCAAAAATCCAATTCGGTCCTTGATTTTCCTCTATGCATTTACTTAGGTTCAATTTGTTTTTTTTTATATATATTTTAATTTAAGCCTCCCATAGCCAATAATTGGGACTTTTTATTTTAATTGGTTCCAATTATACCTTTTTTAATTTTTGAAAAAGGAATTGAAGCTTTCAATTCTTTAATTAAGCCCCAATTGTCTTTTTAATTATTTTTCACTCTTGATTTTTCTCAATTAACCCCCTCCTTATAATTAATTTAAACTAAACTATTATAATTATTTTTTTTCTATTTTTTGTATTTTGTATTTTCATTTCATTTTTCTTTTTTTTGTACTTTATTTTTTAAAATAATAAATGAAAAATAAATAAAAGAGGAGCAAAAATTGAGCGCTAATGATTGCCCATTCTTTACAATGCTTATGACGTAAAGTCTTTGAAAATAGTTTATTTGACTTTACATAGTAATCTTATAAAGAAATAACGAGAAAGATTTGGAATACATGATCGACCATATCAAAAGAAAACATGACTAACCATGTTGATTTAAAAGTACACGACCGACCACGTTAACTTTGTAAGACACGACTCGCTTATGTCAAAACAAAATATGACTGACAACCCCGATTTAAGAGAGTGTATCTAACTCGTCTCGACTTCGTAAGACATGACTGGTCATGTCAATAGGAAATGTGATCGACCACGATGATTAAAGAGTACGTGATTGATCTCCACGACTCCGTGAGACATGATTGAACATGTCAAAAATAGAACATGATTGACCACGTTAATTTGAAAGGACACGAACGACCGTGCTCGACTTTATGAGGCATGACTAACCATATCAAAAGGAAACGTGACTAACCACGATAATTTGAACGGACGTAATCGACTACTCGACTTTGCAAAACATGACTATGTCAAAAGAAAAGGTGATCGACCACGATAATTTGAATGGATGGGACTAACTCGCTCCGACAAGACATAACCGACCATGTCAAAAAAGAACATGATCGACCACATTAATATGAAAGGATTCAATTGATTGCTTTGACTTTACAAGACATGATTGATCGTGTTGATTTTGTGAGACATGATCGACCATGCCAAAAAAGAACGTGACTAACCACGTTAATTTGAAGGGATGCGACTAACCACGTTGATTTGAAGAAATGTAACCGACCACGTTGATTCTGCAGGGACATGACTAACCATGTCAATTTGGTAAAAAAACATAACCGGCCATGTTGATTTGAAGAAGTGTGACTAACCATGCCGACTTAGAGGGACATGACCGACCATATCAATCTGGTAAGAAAACGTGACTAACCACGTTGATTTGAAGGGGTGTGACTAACCATGTCAATTTGGTAAGAAAATATAACCGACCACGTTGATTTGAAGAAGCACGATCGATCATACCGATTTAAAGGGACATGAATGACCATGTCAAAATGAAAAAAAACCATCACCGACCACGTAGATTTGAAGAGGACTCAACCGACCATACCAACCTAAAGGGACATGATCGACCATGTCAAATTAAAAAAAATATGATTACCCACGTTAATTTAAGAAGGGCGCGACCGACCACACCAACCTAAAAGGATATGACCGACCATGTCAAATTAAAAAAAACCAAGATTGATCACATTAATTTGAGGGGGTGCGACCGATCATGTCTACTTAGAAGGACATGACCGATCATGTCAAATTAAAGAAAACGTGATCGACCAAGTTAATTTGAGGGAGGCACGATCGACCACGTTGACCTAAAGAGATATAACCGACCATGTCAAATTAAAGAAAACGTGATTGACCACGTTAATTTGAGGGAGGCAAGACTAACCATATCGACCTAGAAGGACATGACTAACTATGTCAAATTAAAAAAAAAATATGATCGACCATGTTGATTTAAAGAGACGCGATTGACCACGTCGATTTTGTAAGACATAACCGACCATGTTAGAAGGGAATGTGATCGACCATATTTATTTAAAAGGATAGGACCGACCACATCAATCCTATAGGGACACGACCGACCATGTCCAAGTAAAAGGAAATATGACAAATAACATTGATTTAAAAGAATGTGACTTATCATGTTAGAAAGGAACGTGATTGACCATGTTTATTTGAAAGGATGCTATCGACCATATCAATTATACGGAGACACGATCGACCATGTCCAATTAAAAGAAAAAGCGATTGACCATATTGATTTGAAGGGATGTAATCGACCACGTCGATTTTGAAGGAATGCGATTGATCGCATCGACTTTGCAAGTTGTGACAAACACTTTGACCTATTAAGATATGACGGACTACTTTGACTTTATAGGACATGACGGATCATGTCTATTTGGGAGGATGAGACAAACTACGTTGACTTTGTAGGACGTGATAGAGCACATCAATCCGGAGGGCGTGACGGACCATACTAACTTAGAAGGACATAAAAAACCATATTTATTTGGAATGACGTGATAGACCACGTTGGTTTTAACCGACGTGATGGACCACACATTTTGATAAGATATGAATGACCATTCTAACCTAGATTAAAGTGATAGATCACACGTTTTGACAAGATATGAGTGACCATTCCGACGTAGATCGACATGACGGACCATATTGGTTTAGAAAGGTATGACGGACTATGTTTTTTGGCAAGACGTGACGGACCACTTTGACTTAAGTCGACTTGAATTTTTCAAAGAAGCATAGGTCATTACTACCAAAACATAGGTTTTTCCCTTTTTCCTTTATTTGTGTGTCATCTAGCTTGAATAGGCTCACAATTCTAGTGCGATCGCTTTCATTGAGCTTTTCTATTTGTATTTCGATTATGCATCCTATTCTTGGATTCATTGAGGATTACTACTACGATTACTATCTTTGTATTTGAGTAGCGTCTACTCCTATAGCTTGAATAGGTGATCACTATTTTTTTGTGCCCCTTGGTATTATCCCAAAATGTTCGGGTTTTTGCAACCACATATCAAGAGTCTAGCCTAAAAATGGATAACATGATCTTTTATCTCAATTGCCTATAGCTCATCAAGAGAAAGCTCATAATAGATTTTATAGAGCGGACCTCTTGCGGAATAAGTCCAAGTAAGATGCTTATCAAGTTATCATATGCCAATTTGATGCATATTTCACGAATGAATTAATCACGGGATTGTGCATGAGATCAAATAAGAGTTTTTTTTTTTAGAGATTGATCATACTTGTGAAAACAAGGGTTTTTTTTAGAGGCAAAAGATCATGAACCATATTATGTTGGAGGAATCAAGAATAGAAGAAGCAAAGTCAAATGATCACATAAATGAATATTTGGCCATAACTCGGATTATCTCTTTGTTGTTCTAGATAAGAGAGAAGTTGAAATGTTTATTCTTTTAGTCCCGACACAAATTTGCAACTCGGTCGATCATGAAATGTTTCGAAGCATTGGTAGTGATCATCCATTCATTATTTACCTTTCATTATTGTTGTTCATGTTGCTTGTCTTTTCTCCGTGTTTGCGCTTGATTTTGTGAACTCATCTTTGAGAGTTTTTTTTTTGAATTTTTAGAAAATCATTTTCATTTGTTGTGACTTTCATGGATTAGGTTATCTATTTGAAAATTTTTTATCAAGGCAAGTTGAATTGTTCAAGAGAAATTATTGAGATGTTCATAAGTAATCTCATTCAAAAAGGTGTTTAACTTATTTGGGTAACGAGATAAAATGCATCGAGTAATATCGAGATATAAATCTCATGTGTTTCAATCATAAGAATTTTGAAAATGATTAGTATCTTCCGACAAGTGATTGACAAAATTTTTATCCCGAGTATAACGTGATTGAATGAATTTCGAGAAGCTGAAGGAGTTTTTTTTTTTGAACAATGTTTGGCTTAAATGGACGAGTCTTGCTTAGAAAGGCTGATTTATTTCTTTCTTGCCCTCAATTTTTGATGAAAATTTATGATTCAATGTCATAAATGATGATCCGTAATACACAAACAAGTCAAGTTTTATTAATAAACATTTTTCTTCTTCTCATTTGAAGATAGAACTCATGAACACAAACGAGTCACCTTTGATCAAAAAGGGCTTCCATAGGCATGTAATGTAGGCTATGGCTTTGGCTTATGAATGAAAGGATATAAAGGCTCAAATGGTGTTTGAGGGTGTAAAGATCTAGGATCACTTAATTGTTCATCGAGATCATTTTAGGCATGCCGCCTTGACTTTGTCATCTTACCAATTGATCTCATCTTTGAATCTCGGTTCCCCTTTCATGTTCACTCTTGTCATTCTTTTTTTTTTTTTTATGATTTCTAACTCTAGCATTTCTAACTCCAAGTTATGAGAGGGATCACTCTAGATAACACTTTTTGTCTTAGTGCTTTCACTTTTTTTTCTCCCTTTTGTTTTGTTTTTTCGAGTCATTCTAGGATTTTGTCGACAAGTTTTGTTTTGTGAATAATCATCATCATTTCTCATCTTTTTTTTTCTAGAAGAGCGTCCTTGATTATTAACAAACTTCAAAATTACCCATAATGTGAGTGGTGATTCTAGTCTAGGTCATTATCGAAGAAATCCTTTAGGCTCAAAGTTGAATAGCAAGGGATAAGTTTTATTTATTTGTGGAAAAGTATATCAAAAATGGCCTTTCTTCATATCAAATATGATCTTGTTCATGTTGATAAGCTTTAGCTTCATTTGACACTTACGTTTGACTTATAGAAAAGAAATGATGGATAAGATGAGATCAAGACTCGCATGCATATCACTCATCATCATTTAAGACATTGAATCACCTTATAGTTTAGTTTTTTTTTTTTTG